AAAACCTCTTGAGTAAATCACAACAAATCCCTCAACGCCAGAACAAAAAATCTCACAAGTATAATTTTGCTCTTAATGCACTAAGGCAAAAGTAGTGAAGAAAGAAAGAGAGAAAATGAGAGTGGAAAGTAAGAAAGTATATAGAAATACATTTTCTAGTGTATTTTGAAATGAGTATAAACTTTATATTTATAGGTGAAAATGTATCTCAAAAAGGAAAATGATCAATGAGCTTTTTAATGCTTATAATCGATTAGATGATAGGTCTAATCGATCATCTAAACTTAAAAAGGAAAGTTTTCAAGCAACATTGTCACTAATTGATTATGAGAATCTCTAATTACGAGCATTAGAAAAGTGATAAATAATTAATCCTAATGGGATAATCGATTATACCATGTGAAAACCCTCTTAATTGATTGCAACAAGTTCCTAATCCATTGCTAAGCGTAAAAAGGTTTTCTAGTTATTTTAACAAGGTTGTAGAGGCTTTCTAAACATTTGAAAATGTGTGTGTGATTTTCTTAGTAGTTTTAGAGCTACTCTTATAGCTTTACATACATATATCACTCGACACATACCGGGTGAGCTTTTACACTTCTTCTATTTCACAACTCTGAAGCTTTTGATTTCCATTGCCATGTTATCTTTGAATGTAGCACTTTATTGGAATCTTGAATCTTATTATTGATGAGGCTTAAGATAAATTCAAGTTGATCACCACCAATAGAGGAGTTGCTTGATAAAAGAAACTAAAGTTTTCACTTGAACATAATTTTAGGTGTTGAATTCAAAAGGATAGTTTAACGTCTGATGAAAGATCATCTTTGTCCACTTGAGATATCTTGATGATAGAATACACGTTTGTATGTTGTTGTACATATAATGTTGTTATTATCAAAACAAAAGTGTTGATATCAACTTTCTATCAACAAAACCACCTGAATCATCTTGACAATTGTATATAGTTTTACCTGCAATCACATAGACCCACACAAGCCTTTTCAGTTTTTATGATGCTTACGATTATCTTAGCTTGAATCTTTTTTCACCATTAAAACCATAACAAATATCATCATAACTTGCACGTTACATTAAACTACATTCTCCCTCTTTTGATGATGACAACACAAGTCTCAAGAAAGTTAAAATAGAAATATTAATATGAAAAATATTGGAGTAGTTAATTTCCCCTTACAGTTAAAGAGAGTATATTTTAATTCCCTTGAGAGTATACTTATCCCTATTTAGTATTATCAAAAAGTGGGAAAAGAAGAAGAGGAAGGAGAAGAAGCGCATAGCAGATTCAATCAATGCATGATTGACATATAATTCCTAAATTGGCTCTTATGAAAATGAAGTTTTCTTTAGGAAGAGGGTTAGTAAAAATATCTTCTAAATGATTAGATGAAGACACATACATTGATTTATGTGATTCCTTTTTTTCCGACTTGATCCCTAATAGAATGGTGCATCATCTCAATGTATTATTATTGAGAGTTAAGTACCTGATTCTTAGTAAGGTTTATGGTGCTAGTGTTGTCGCACTTAACCAGGACAACTTCGAGATTAATCCCATAATTAATTTATTGTTGTTTCATCTAGACTACTTGCGCATAACAACTACCTGCAGTGACTTATTCTGCTTCAGGTGTGAATAATACAACACTTGTTTGTTTCTTGTTATGCCAATGATAAATGCATGATTTATATTAGACTATTAAAATTATCGTTCCACTAGGACTAGTATGATTATCGATTCTTTTCTTTCTGTTTGATTAGCTGAAAAGGGTGAATTTCTTGTGGTTTAGTTATTTTAAATGTTTAGAGTTTTAATAAAAAAAATTGTTCTAGGATTATGATTCCTTATCTAGAACTGCTTACGTAAAACCTTGTTCCTACTTTGTCATGGGAAATTTAGCTCATGCAAATTAAATAGAAAATGTTAGATTATATCTTCTTTCAAACTATATAATTGTAGCTTAAATTACATAATCACTTACTTTCATGGTTGAGTCAATGAAAAGACCTTAAGAAAATAAATTTGAACCTTCTCAAATAAATCAAAACTATTTTCATGTGTTGGTTTTATTGTCTAATCTTTATGTATCAAATATCAGCCTTCGACTTTCAGTCTATCAATTGATATTTGATATTATCTCTATTTTCACAGGAAACATTTGTAAAATCCTTCAAGGTTAGAGTATTGGCTTAGTTACCCATGACAGAGTTTGAAATTGAGAATTACAAGAGGTTTGTCATTTAGACAATCCTCATAATTCTAAATAATCTAATGCACTAGGCGCACGACCGTGCAAACTTTCACATTTTCTCTCTTTCACAACTTTTAATCTTCAAGTTTCTTTTCCTGATTTAACATTAAGTAACACTTCAATTGGAACTTGAGCGCATCTTACCAAAGAGGATTTGAAATAACTTCTTCTTGATATATGCCATTATCAGACACCACTAAAAGTTGCAATTAACTCCTTCTTTGACAGTTCTCACCATGAACTTCATCAAATGTCATTAAGGTGTTGTTATCATTTAGATAGCTTGACAGTTGTCATCAATGAATAACTTGGCAGTTATCATCATCAAAACCAACTGACTATTGTTGGCATCCGTACCTGCACAACCTATAGATCTATAATTTCAGGTGTGTTTAGCTCATAATGAACATAAATAATACAAAACACTAAGGTGATGGATTACATGTTCTTAAACAAGTAAAAATAAAAAATATGACATTGAAAGAATCTACAAAAATTATTTGCAATCTTCCAACTTTAAGTGACTTTTGGATGAGGTTTACTCGCACTGGAAAAGGCTCCAGTTAAATTATGATGGTGTGGTGAATGAGAGTAAGTCAAATATATCTATTATGATAGAATGAAAGATCATTAAAGAAACATTTTAAAAAGCTGACGATAACATGAAATTTCATATCAAAGAGAAATTAAGGAAGATTACATATCCAAAAATAATAGATTTGATACCACCAGCGGGACCAGTAAAAACAAAGGGTGCTCCTAAGAATGTAAAATCAACATTGAGTTACAATTCAATTAAATGGTCTTCATCCTATTTTGAACACGTCGACACACTTTACTCGGATTCTCTAATTCACATTCTAAAAGAAGTTCTATCAAAGTTACTTGGATCAGTAAACTATCACCTTCACCACCTTTACAAAAAATGATACACATTGAAGAGATGTTAGTTTTTATACACAAATATATTGACTAAATTATAGATGCCAGGCGTGACTCAACTACAATTATAATGTTATTTCAAGTTAGCTGGGTAACAAAGAGGAGAATCATACACTTACTCGCCAACATTTTTCTAAAGAGTAAAAGACGCATAATGCATCATTCATAACGTTATATGGGAAAAAAGAACATTTCAATGAAATTCGTGCATCTCTTATTCCTTGTGTTAGCGGTCCACCATTTAAGAAAAAATGAATGTGTTTCCTTGAAATGAGCCATCTTATAGCAATGGCATATAATAAGGTATGTATCGGTTTGACAAGATATGGTTTCTCATAAACTTTTTTCCCACTTCGAAGTGGCAAACCTCAAAATCCAGCTAGGTGCATTGTGTGTATTGGGTGGTTTTCAAAATCACAACACTTTTTCAAGTTTGTTTAAAACCGGGATGTCATATACCACGAGCATCCCCTGAGTGGACATCTAATTCCACAAAAGAAGTTGAAAGTTGACGGATAATTTTTTGGATAAGATGAAAGAGTTTGCCAATTTGAGTGAAATTGAAAAATAATTTAATCAGGAAAAGTCAAAGGTGGAACCTCATATAGTTTTTAGATTTAAATGATAACACATGTTTCAATGCATTTTAGTTTTATCTTATCATGCATTTTAGATGGTGACACATGTTTTTTTTACGTAATGTTGGATTGTTAAATTTTTCTTTAGTTAAAAACATGTTATATTTGTGTGTAAAATTGTCTGCCTACAAAATCAACTTTTATAATCACTGATTTTAGATTTTACAATATGGACAAACCATATTTGTTGTGTTATTTCACACGTAACATGGTCACTCTAGATTTCAATATTTAGACAAACAATTATTTGTACTTAATTGAATTGTGATTTCAAAATTCGGAATGGAATATGAGATATGATAACTTTTGTAAGGTTCTTATTTATCGAAAACTTGTATAAGTATGTTTCATATGTAAATGTAGTTAACAAAAATACATCTTAATGTCTCAATATTGGTATTTTCCATTTGTTTACTTCAACGACCTGAATCCTCCTCTTGAATTTAGGACCAAAGTACGCATCTCTTGTAGTTATAAAATCCAAACTTGATATTCTCTTGTGTTACCCCGAGAATTGAAAGGTGGTTAAGATTAGAATCGTTCACCCTCGATTGATAACAAAAGAAAGGTGAGTTGAAAAGAAAGGTGAGTTGAAGACAAATATAGATTTAAAAATTATGTGAAGTACATTTCACAATTACGTAATAAAGAGTTTGATTGAGGTGGATGCGGGAGTAAAATCAACCGACGATAATCTATAGATATTGAAACATCATAAACCATCTCTATATCATAAAATGCAATATTAAATTTATATTAACAGAAATCTATGTAATATTACGAATTTTGTGTATCTAATAAGATATATTTATGTTAATTTGTGTTTTTTCATTTCTTCTCTAAAATAATTTATGATTTTTTTTTATGATAGAGTATATTTTAGATTTCAATATTTGAAATAACTCTTGAGATGAGTTTGTGTTCTTGTAAATTTTAAAATCCAAAATTTATAAATATTTTTAAAATTTCGCTATTAATAAATTAAATTCTCCTTAAAAATATTCCCCTTTTTCCCTGCACTGCACCAAAATCTAAGGTGATTCAAAGTTCAAATTCAAATTGATATAGTGAAGTTGGAACTAGGAAGCATTTCATTGTGCCGTGTTTTGCGTTGCTTGCAAGCGCGTGGGCGAGCGATTTCATTTCAATGGCAGCTTCGCTAGGAGGCAATAGTGTGGAGTGGCACGTTCGTCCTCCAAACCCTAAAAACCCAATCGTCTTCTTCGATGTCACCATCGGTAACATACCTGCCGGTAGAATCAAAATGGAACTCTTCGCTGATATTGTCCCCAAAACCGCCGAGAATTTCAGGTCATCCTCTTTCTCCGCCACTTCAATTTTCTTATTTATTTTTCGGTCTAGTTGGATTTTAGAATGTTGCATCTGAATTTATCATTTGGTGCTGAAAAGATGGTTGAAATTAGTAAACCTAATTTAAAGAGGTTGCTTTAGTTTTGATTAGATGATGTGTGATGGATTTTGTTTTACTCTAGAGTTTATGAAACTTAGATTTTTTTCAGCTTTCTTTTCATTCAGCTTCATTACAATGACCATGATAAACCTGCTTTAAAATATGAATTTAGATGCAAAACATGATTTGGAGATTGTGTGATTGTATAATTGTATTGATAAAACCCTAGAGGTTGGCCTAGTGGTGAAGGCTTGGTCCTGACAGTGTGCTCCACTGAAGGTCTCAGGTTTGAATTTTGCTAGGTGCAAATAATTCCTGTGTTGGGCCAAGTCCAAAGGGCCTCCACATGTGGACGGTGAGATTGATCTCCTTGGATTAGTCGGTCACAAGGTCGGATACAAAAATTTCAAAATAAAAAGAAACTGATGGCTTCTAGTAGACAATTTGTTTTTACATCTCCTTAAACTACAGTTTGGACTTTTATGTTCTTTGCTTAGTGTTTGCTGTTACACTTTGAGAATATCTTTATTTGAAAAATTCTTGTCTTTAATTCTTACTAACAGGTCTAGTTTTTGATTTTGCAGGCAGTTCTGCACGGGGGAGTACAGGTAATGTAACAATCTTTTCCAGAGTGGGCAACAATGTGTTGTGGTTTTTCTTCTCCTCTTTTTATTTTGTTTTTCATTTGGATTCATTATAAGTTTTGATCTATCACTTTGCTTTTATTTTTGATACACAAGAGTAATAAGGTGGCTTGGTGGTTTGGCAGAGGGGCATAGGGGTTGGAGAGATAAGGAGGTCATGAGTTCAATTTTATCTTTAACATTATTATAACTAACATTCGTCATTCAAAAATGAAAGTTGATACCCACCACACAATTATGATATCTTTACTTAATAATTTGTAATGCCTATTTGCCACGTTATCTTAATATTTGTTTGACAATCTATTCCTTCCATTTGTTTTTCATGATTGTCATGATGAAAAATTGATGATTGTGATAAGTGTAAGTTAATGGTGGTGGCATCACGATAAAGGGTTGAGCTGAGCCCATCAATCGTGAAAATTGTTCTTGCTTTTCTTTTCTGTACGAGGGCCATGATTGGAAAAATTGCAATCCTTCTCATAAAAATACAATTGTCTCGTTTTGGGTGTGAGTTAGTGGGTGGAATGGGATGAGTGAGGGAGATGAGAGAAAAATATAATTGTTATAAATGTTGCTTTTCAAGGTCTTGTACTTATTTGTATTATTTTTACACTTGACATTTCTTCTCCACCATTTGATTTGTTCCTAGGCAGTGTCTTCAACTTTGACCATAACGTTTGGCAGAGGGGGGATTGTTTTGACTTAAAAATGTTTCTGTTCCCTAAAAACATTATGCTTATTGGAAGGTCTCTTTTAATTTTTTTTTTTGTTGTTTTTAGACTTTACAAATACAAAAAATCATGTGCTACTTTAGTCCCTAAAATTTGCATACTTTATTGAGGGCCAGAATATACATTATTTTGATAAATGGAAGGACTAAAAAATGAAAATAAAATGATAATGAGGAAAGACTAATTGAAAAATCTTACTTTTATGGACCAAAACTATGTTTAACGTCACTCTTCCTGATTATTGAATTGACTGTAATGTGTTTTCCTATTTAACACTTACTGTATTTTCAAAATGTCTACCGGCATATTTAACTGTATGGAATGTTAGGTTTTATGGTATGATTTTATTGGCAGGAAAGCAGGACTTCCTATTGGCTACAAGGGTTGCCAATTTCATAGAGTGATCAAGGATTTTATGATTCAGGCTGGTGATTATGTAAAGGTACTTTTCTGGTCAATGTTATCTCTGACTTGGTCTGTTTTAACAAATTAGTGCAGGGGTGTTTAGGTTTGTAGTTTATATTCATTATTTATAATATAAGCTTATTGCTCATATGGTCTTACTCTTTATGCATTGCTTATGTATATAAGTTATGAAGTCAATGTTTCTTTTCTTGCCTAATAGCTTTGGGTAACCATCTTATTTGACCTCAGTTACATCTCCAAGCCCACTATTCCTCAGTTACTGCTAGTAGTGATAGACCCAATGCTTTACTTATGTGTACATTAAACCTGACTTTTAAGAATTATATGCCAGTAGCAGCATCATACAAATATTTTAAACTGCAGAATGTCAATCATAGTAATTGCGAAGTGTCAGTATAAGAGGACAGAGTCAATTTGCATTATAAACATATCATAACTAATCTTTCCAACTGAAAAGTCTTTAGAAAAATATATACTTGTTGATGATCACGATATAGTGATTGTGTGAAACATGGTTAAGGAAACCCTGTTCTATCTCACGTGTAGGAGTTTAGTCTAAAATGTTGTTTCTTCAAAGGCTAATTGACAAATACCGTAATAGGTTTGCTGGATCCTTATGTTATCTGGTCAATCAGATTGAGAGAAATGGTACACTTTAATTAAAACAACATAAATTTTAAGCAACGTGAGAAAAGTCCAATAATGAAAGTACCTTGGTCTGAGGTTTCACTTGCATCCAACTCTTTGATTCCCTAATTCTTTATACTGTATACAGAATTAGGGAATCAAACAGCGTGAAAAACTCAAAAGGAACACCATTTGTCTTTACTAGTTTTATTAGTAATCAATGCCAATGGTCATGAATATCCTCTAGTTGTCTAATTCCTAATCAAATACACTACTTGATTGAAAAAGAGGAAAGCATAAATTATATTGTCATCATTCAAAATACAAGATCCGTTGTAACCCAAGCAATGAGATTTAGTTATCCGTATGTAAAGAAACCAAAATCCCAAACTAGTATGGTAGAGAAGTCCTTCTAGACCGCTACTGCTTAACCCCTGCTACTTCTTCAAGTGGTAGAAATCCCAATTCTTAACAAGCACTACTTCTCCTCTTGTTTACACATTAATTCTATGCATAAAACCGGCTCTTTCTCTTTGTAGTCCTATTAGAGTTTCCCTCTTTTTGAATCCTGTTTTTCCCTTGTAATACTTAGAGATATATAACTTCATTTTCCAATAAAGAATAGAATTGCTTGATCATCTTTGTAAATTTTGAGAGTCGGATAAGTTTTTTGTTTATCTTCAAATTTTAATCCAAAACTTTCAGCAAACTGATTATCATTGCATATGTAAAAAAAAAAAAAAAAACTAGCAGTGAAAGAACATACTCAATAATCAAAATGGTCTTCTAATAATTAATAAATCATTGCAGCGTAATGGGAATATACTCATAATAACTAATTAAATAGTTATAATGATCAATAAAAGCTTTTCAGAATAATATGTTAAAACATACACCCTCAGTTCCTTTTTAATTGTAGCTATTGTTCCCAATATTTTAAAAACCAGACCGGAGATCAAACTAGTGAAATTTACGGTTTAAAGTTCAATTAGTTAAACCTACGGTTGAACCGTTTATTAAATAAACTAATAATATGAAACTAAATTTCATATATATGTCACACATTATTATAAATTCTCAACTTAATAAAATAAATATTTCAAAAATCCATTACAAATTTAATACAACAATATCAATAATACATAACACAACATAATTCTACACTTCATTTCAACCATATCTAAGAATATTTTGACCAAACTAAAAAATTACAATAAAATAAATTAAACTAATTCAAATCAAAAAGAAAATAATAGAATATAATAACTAAAATAAAGTTTAAATAATTAAGAATACCTAAATTAAATAAGATAGAATATTAAAATATAAATAATACAATATACTTCATTAAGCAACAAAAAATCGAATTTGAGTTGAACTACGACAAACAAGTCTTAATTGACAACAACAAATAATATTAATTTGAATGACAATCAATAGAGTTGGATATCGTGACTATGTTTGAAAGAAACAGCATGACGATGATGGAGTGTGGTTGAAAGAAAAACTATAATGGAGTGACAACTTAAAAATTTGTATGGTTGTAAAAAACACATGGATTTTTTTTTTTGTGATTGGGGAATGTATGTTAAGTTTTGATATTAACATATGGAGTTTTTTGAAAAAATTTAAGAAAATGGTCAATTTGATGAATTTTTTTGAACCGGACGGTTTTACAAAACCGGCTCCGGTTCTTTGGTTCGAATGGTTTTGGACGGTTCAATTCGGTTTTTCTGGTTTAACTCCGGTTTTGACCCACTAGCGGTTTTGAAAGGTTGATCCAAACAAATTCATCTCCGATTTTCGGTTCAACCGGTTCGATCCGGTTTTTAAAACATTGATTATTCCTATTTATTTGTTGTTTTTAAAGTTCAATGCAAAACTAACTATTTATTGCAAAGCAGAGAGAAATAAGTGGAATGAGATAATAAATAGTTAAAGATGTTTCAGGAAGAAGAGAAATAGTTCCATGAAAATTAAAAAATAACAGATTTATTGGTTTTCTTAGTATGAGTAAATAATTTTAAATTGACAACTAAAATGGAACAAAGGTAAATAACACTTCACGATTGGATGTGGCGTAGCATTGCATACATTTTTTGGTGCTTGAATCTGATCCAATCCACATTATAGCAACATGGATGTTCTATCATGTCATTGTTTTTGAAAATTAGTATAAAAATCCAACAAGAAATGAGCTATCAAATTAACTGCATATGTAATTTTCATATAACCTAAAATATCTAACTTCCTTTTATACTTTTTACATTTCAACTTTTTCTTTATTAACTCTAGACTTTAATTGTCAACTCAGTTTTTTATAACAATTGGCTAGCCCCAATTTTCATCATCTGATACCTTCTCAGAATGTTGCAAATGGATTTTCTATTGCCTTTTTTTTTTTTTAATGTTGGATTTTATCTTCAAATCCTTCATTTTATCTCCTAGACACATTAGTGGCGAGTGCATATTTTGTGAATGGACCCTAATCTGTTGTGATAGACACACATGTGAGTTTTACTTTGGCTGGCTTGAGACACCGAACTCCCATTGATACCAGAAGCTTTCTTTCTCAATAGTCTGGCTTTTAGAAGTAGTTCTCCTGCATTACATATACTTCCCTATCATTTTTGTTGCTTAGGTTGTTTGGTATTCATATTTCTTTATCCCACAGTCTATCCCTTCTCTGTTGTTTGGTATTCATCTTTCTTTATCCCACAGTATTTACCTTCTCTGTTGTGGACTGTGGTCGTGTATCTCAAAGTTGTCTCTCGTCAGATCATTATTATCAATTCTTTAGATGAAGCACTTTCTATTTGATTTTGTTATGACGTTGACAGCATGCCACTGGTGCTCCCTTTATCATAATATGTTTAATGAGCCTGTCAATTTTCTCTCTAAATAAGTACAGAAATTTTGTTGCTTTCTTAGTGGAAATAATATCACAAGAAATTAGAGTTTTGTCTGGAGCAGGACTTGATGCCGAGTTTTAAATTCAGTTGTTTTGTATTGTAAACTGCAATGCTTGCAACCGCTCTTCATGTGGGTGCATTGAATCTACTCTGAATCCTGCCCTGCCTTGCATCTATAATTGATACACTGCTTATATATATGTTTTGATATACATACCGCTTATATAAATGTTGTCAGTGATAACAATGATTAAATTAAGGTTTTATATGAAACTCTTACGAGTATATTCTTCCTTGGCAGGGTGATGGTAGTGGATGTGCTTCCATCTATGGACTCAAGTTTGATGATGAGAATTTCATCGCCAAACACACTGGACCTGGGCTTCTATCAATGGTATGGATTTCTTGTTTTAGTCTAGTGCTATTTTGGGTTATATGTAAATATTCAGACTGTTGATGTAATAGGGATTCGATTCTAAGTCACATAAGGATACAATTATTAATTATTGTTAAAATTGCGCAGTGGTTATGAATTTCTGAACTAGCTCCTTAATTTAAGGACTAATTGACCGTACATGTATATTCAAATCAACAAGTTATTGACTAGCATGTTAACTTACAACAATCTTACACCTGAATGCTTTGAAATGATATTATTTATATCTTGCTAAAAATCAATTCTGCCATCAATTAATTCAACTAGTATGGCATAATTATGGTTTTTCTTACTCCAATATAAAGAAAGCTGAAGTCCTGATTGTCTAATCTGCAGGCAAATAGCGGACCAAATACCAATGGTTGCCAGGTAAATTTCAAATGATCATTCATTTCCTGTACTCTTTACTCTGGTAACTTCTAATTGATAAAGCTCTATTTCTACTGATGAATCTTCTCTCCTGCTTGCAGTTCTTTTTAACTTGTGCAAAATGCGACTGGCTTGACAACAAGCATGTTGTTTTTGGGGTATGTTTCGAAATCCTTAATCACATGTAGTATTTTTCATGATGATATTAGGGTTAGTCAATGTCTAAGAAGCACCGGATCTGTAAACTTAGAATGATACCTTAAACTGTGAGAGCTGAACAAACCAAACCACTGTATTTAATCTAGACACGTAAAAATGTTACTCCTTCCGTCACACAATGAGTGATACATTTGCTAGCATCTTTCTTGTCCTAAATGGTTGATGTGTTGTTTATTTACCTGACTTTCCTATATGCAGAGAGTGCTTGGAGATGGTCTTTTGGTTGTGAGGAAGATTGAGAATGTTGCAACTGGACCCAATAACCGGCCTAAGTTAGCTTGTGTCATTGCTGAATGTGGTGAAATGTAAATTTTAATGTAATTTTGGTAACAACTTATAGTTCTCTGAATTGATTGAATCCCATAGATTGGCTTTCTATACAAGGATCTTTGGTCTCTAAGACTGATAATTAATTTTGTAACGAATTAGTTGAATAACATAACTAATTGAACAATCGTGCTTGGGAATAGTAGAAGGAACTTTATTATTATCGTCTTTATATTGTAGAATAAGTTGAAATGCTTCAATTCTGTGAGATTCAGGAGGAGTGTGAAGGGAGTGACGTGGCTAGACAGTTTATTGGTGCCAATATTTGTTTTGTTTTGTTTTTGTTTTTTTTCGGTTGTTGTTTGGGTTCATATATGCCAAAAGTTTGAAGTTTTGGAGGTAAAAGGAGCATATAAAGGAATGTGTAAGTTTGATAACTTTGTTTGGGTAAGTTGAAATAAGCGTATATTTAGACTGTAAGTTTGAACAGCAAAATATTTCAAATGAGAAAATGCATAAGATTTGTGCTATATAATTAAAAGATAAAAAATCTGAAAATGTGAAGCTATAACTCAAAATAAGGTTTTGTTTAGATGGATAGAATGTGATGAAAGTTGTAATGGATGAAATAGAATAAAATTTGAGAATTTTTTAATGCACCCTAAACATTTCTTATATAAAATTATTTAGATGTTGTTAGTTCTTGGAGATGTATTTTTGGGCGTATTTATTTTTAAATAAACGTTAAATATTTCAAAGATGCATCTCTAGAACAATTTAATACATTCAATACATCTCACTCACATGCTATTTACATTTAAATTGTTCTAGAGATACATCTCTGTCAATATTGCGGAGATATATCTTTGAAATGTATCAGAAAAATGTATTTCATGCTATGAGTTGTTTATCTGTGTTCAGATGAAGTATAACATACGATCGAAAATAAAAAATAGACGTATATAATTCTAGATGGACCAAAAATGCCATGCAAAAATAAAATAGTAATATATATCAAAAATGTCGAACAATTGAGATTCAAAATGTAGTAATACCGTCAAAATAAAATACAGGTTATAGTATTACAACAAAATAATAAGAGACTACTACTGCATGTGTATGATAACCTCACATCTACCTCATTTGCATGTTCTACCTCCTTGGCCATTAACTCCCTGTCCTTTGGCGATATCTCTGATACAACAATGCTTAATGTGCCTCCGTCATGATGGCATATAGGACCCACCTGACATCATACCCATCAGGGAAGATACCTTTGTCAATGTCTGCATGCCCAATCTCCATTATGCGATAACACTTAGGCAAGACATCATTAGTATGATCTAGCTGAGTCTGCTCCTCCTCTAGTATCTCCTGATGAGCTGGTCTCAGCGGATCTCCTGGAGCAGCATACACATGTACGAATGTGACACCCTGAAAAACTATCTAATGACTCTCATAATCATCAAACATCTGCTCTATTTGTCTACGTGTCAAGGTATGAGGAGCAGAGACAGCAAGATGTCTGGAAATGGTCTAAACGTAACCAAACTGCCGCATGACACGCTCGGGAAGATAAGGAGCAGTGAGACGCGATCCGCAAGCCAACCATCTAGAGTATAACACTATCTCGTCAAATTATCGTGTATGATGGTGATCAACATAGCTGCTGAAGTGCATGTACTTAGCAAACAAGTGGTCAATATAGACTTTGTAAGGCTCGATCGTCTGGTTTCCTCAGAACGGAATAAAAGCAATAGCACGCGACATATCCTTAGTGTACTCAGGCACACTCGCCTAGCCAGATATGCGCGGAAAGTGCTGGAGGATCCAAGTCTGAAATAAAAAGTTTATAACACACAAATCATCAGCAATGACTTTGCAAATAAGAAATGAAAATAAAAAACCAAAGACCAATAATTATTACCATCAGTAGTGTCACGTTGCCTGTGACTTACTTCGTCTTCCACATACAACCCTCTTTCAACTTCGAATACAGGTAGACCAGGTAAGCCGCCCCTAATTTGTACTATGGATCCACTTGAAATCCAAGAAGTACCTTTGGTAGACGACATCAATATAAGTTGCACTCTTGTACACAAAAATCACAGTGCCAAACAAAAAAAGGAAGTATGCTCTCAATGCATGCGATTTGTGGACCGCCACCTGCTCATCATCACCATGAGTCTGCTCTGCTATCTGGATCTCAACAACATAAATCTTTCTCAGGAACTCAAATCTAGCATGAGCACCTCTGGTCCTATCCACCTCTTTCATCGTCTCCCCTAGATCAGCCCCCAGATGCTCTACCATCATCTCGACTGCCCCGTCTTTGGTAATCCTCCCATGATCGAGGAATCTACCCTTGATCGGAAGATGTAACAAACACGAGACATCGTCAAGTGTGATAGACATCTCACCATGCGGAGATGAAACGAAGAGGTCCCGAAGTGTCATCTCTCCACAAATGCATTAAGCATCCCGTGGTTGACTAGAGTGTAACCGGTCATGCACAAGTTCTTCAGGCCAGATAAGGAAAAAACTTGCTGAAACCAATCCGTCTCCTGCTGAGGCAATGCAACAATCTTCCTCCCGTGGTTAAGAAACTTATGAGGATCACGCTCCCGAAATTTGTCTAAAATAATCAATGTAAGAAATTATCAATTTCGACAATTAAAATTAATGTATAAATAAATAATTCAACTAATGCTACCTCTTCGTCTCAGATATGTCTAATAGTATGGTGTGGATACATAAGTAGTAAGAACAAATCAACTGGACCTCCTCCAAAAGCCTCTGGCTCGGCATTCTCCATAACCTCATCCTCCGTAGGTGGCATTGGATCAACAACGTCATCAATAAGAGGTGGGACTGGATCAATAACATCATTGGTAGATGGTGGCACTAATGAATCCTGACGCCTGTGGGAGAATGAGGGAAGTGATGCGTCAGATGGTGAATTTCGTCTCCTATGGGAAAAGAAGGTGAAGTGACCTGAGGAGAAGCACAAGTCCCGGAAGTAGAAGACTCTGTCTGACCAGAGGGACCTGGAGACTCAAGAACCTGCAGACTCTTTTTCTGCCGATTGGATGCGTGCTAAGCAACTCTGTCATGCCTCACTCTGTCATGTTTGTCAGGCATTATCACTGTAAGTTAAAGTAAGACATACAATTAGTGCACGCAAACAACACACAAGCAAGAATATATATATATATATATATATATATATATATATATATATATATATATATATATATATATATATATATATATATATATATATATATATATATATATATATATATATATATATATATATATATATATATATATATATATATATATATATATACTGCAGGAAATTTCAGAGATGCATTTGCAGAAGCATCAGAAAATTAAAACGTTGAAAAATTCTGGAGATGTATCTCTGGAAGTTTCTACAGAAAATTAAACGTTGAAATATTTCAGAAATGTATCTCCAGAATGTTCAGCAACTCAAAATAGCGTCAATGACGGAATGTACCACATGCAAGGTCAAAAAAATTTGTTTTGATCACCATTTTTATGTCTAAACTATGTTAGATGTGATTTCTACTCATTTCTAACCCTAATTATTGATTTCTACTCATTTACACCAAAACTCAAACATTTATGAAACTCAAAAAACTTACTCGAAATTAATGTTTTTGATAAGCGCTGCCAAAAGTGGCGCTGCTAAAGGTAAATGCAGCGCTTTTTTTAAAGAAAAAGCGCTGCTAAGGGATCCCTTCAGCAACGCTTTTAGCAACGCTTTTTTCACCCTATAGCAGCGCTTTAAAAGCGCTGCCTATTCCCCTTTCCCCTCCCTTCAGTAACGCTTTTAGCAGCGCTTTTTCAACCCTATAGCAGCGCTTTTAAAAGCGCTGTCTTAGACCCCCTTTAGCAGCGCTTTTTTAAAGCGCTTTCATAGACCCCCCCCCTTTTCCAACCTATAGTAGCGCTTTTTTTTGCCTCTCTTTGCACCTTTTAGCAGCACTTTTTTTAAAAGCGCTGTCTATTCTTCACGATTTTTAAATTTTTTTTTTAAATAATCACATTTTTTTATATATTTTTCGATAAACCTGCTTATAACAATTACATTCCCTGCTTATAATTCAGGCCTTTAATTCAACAGTTTGGCCTTATATATAACAATTACTTTGGCCTTATTTATGTGTATTCATCACTTTGCCCATAACCATTTTAATACACATAAACCTGCTTAAATATATTACAACATCACAAAATACATTCAATTTACAACATCACAAATACATTCAATTTACATATAATTACAAATCTGATAACTTTACAAATAGATACGTTATACAATTCTCAACTCAAGAATAAATTGACACCAATCCTCCTTAATTTCTTCCAATCTTGCTTTCAAGTAAGTACCGCACTTGTATTCATCAAAATACTACATAATATAACAAAACATGCACGATTTAATTTTAAAACTAATTACTCAGATGAAATATTGGTTAATTATCAAAATGAATCATATAACTTATGAATTCATCCATACCATGATTGGAATCTCTATTTGACCTGAAAGAATAATTTCCTTCATAAAGCGCAATACAAAATATCCGCAGTCAATCCCATTGCGCTGACGAGGACACTGTAAATGGAAAAAAAACAAACGAACATTTATCAGTATATATAGTTTAAATAGTTTTATCAAGTAGAACCACTGTAACAGTCAAACATGGGAAAATATACCTCCACTCTGATCCAGCTGATGTTGTTAGCCTTCCTTTTTGGCACTGTTGCATCTCTTTGTGCTCTGAATATTTGTATAACTCTAACATAATATAAACGCATATTTAGAATAATGTCACATAATAAATAAAGATATATAACTATTTAGAACAATATATCTCATCACTTACGTATCAACCATGTTCTTCAGATCAGGATATTTTGTTGTATCGCCATCCAATGAATCTATATAATACACTATTTCTTTCATCGGATTAATCGCGAGCAACAATCAGTGTCCACTATAAAATAAGACA